GGAACCGGTCCACCATAAACAAGTGGTGGTCCCACATGAGCAAAGATGTCGGTGCCATTCTTACCACTAGAAGAAGGAGCCTTTTCACTACTAGATTCCCCCTTATCGGAGGTAGAATCTGTCACCTTGTCGGTGGGATCACCCACTTTCAACGGTGCGGTGGATAGTTTAAGCCCTTCAAGGTATTTAGTAAAAATGCTTTCAACCTCGGTCGTCATGGAGGTTTTCAATGTCTCCAAAGCCACATTGAACTCCTCACGAGAGACCGAGGTTCCCCCATCGCCCATAGACGAGATCGGATTCACACCGGAGTGTTCCTCCACACCGTCTACGGTATCAACCATACTCTTCGGACAGTAAAGTCCTTAATAAAGAGACGAGGCTCTGATACCAATTGAAAGGATCGATATGGTTGACTAGAGGGGGGTGAATAGGCAACTAACAATTTTTAACTTTTCTTTACCAAATTAAACTTTGCATCAAAGTAGGTTGTCTAGATGTGCAACCAGGTGAGCAACCTATATGATGCAATAACAACAAACAAACAAACAAACAAGCAAGAGAAGTAACACTAAAGAGCTTGCACAAGTAAAGGTAAGAAATAACCAAGAGTGGATCTGGTGAAGACGAGGATGTGTTACCGAAGTTCCTTCCTTTTGAGGGGAAGTACGTCTCCGTTAGAGCGGTGTGGAGGCACAATGCTCCCCAAGAAGCCACTAGGGCCACCGTATTCTCCTCACGCCCTCACACAATGCGAGATGCCGTGATTCCACTATTGGTGCCCTTGAAGGCGGCGACCAGACCTTTACAAACAAGGTTGGGGCAATCTCCACAACTTAATCGGAGGCTCCCAAACAATACCACGAAGCTTCACCACAATGGACTATGGCTCCGTGGTGACCTCAACCGTCTAGGGTGCTCAAACACCCAAGAGTAACAAGATCCGCTAGGGATAGGTGGGGGAATCGAAAAATCTCTTGGTGGAAGTGTAGATCGGGGCCTTCTCAACCACTCCCGAACAAATCAATAAGTTTGATTGGCTAGAGAGATAGATCAGGCGAAAATGGAGCTTGGAGCATTAATGGAGCTTGAGCGGGAAGAGGTAGGTCAACGGGGAAGAAGGGGACCCCCTTTTATAGTGGGGGCAACAATCCAACCGTTGCCCCACTAAACAGCCCGGCAGAGGGCGGTAGTACCGCTTGGGGGGCGGTACTATCGCTGAGCCAGCGGTACTGCCGTACCAACAAGCGGTACTGTCGCGCAAAGGAGAGAAGCAGGGACCTGGACCCAGAGCGGTACTACCGCGGTGGTAGGGGCGGTACTACCATTGAGAAGCGGTACTACCACCTCTACTGCCGCAACTAGTGCTGCAAAACCCGACACGAGAGAAAGAGCCCTCGAGTCAAGGCGGTAGGAACCAGGCAAGCCAGCGGTAGTACAGCTACGGAGTCACTGGCGGTATTACCGCTACGGAGCGGTACTGCCGCTTGTGACCCCTCAGCGGCACTACTGCTAGGTAGCACGGTACTACCGTTGGACCCAGACAAGACACACAAGTAGAGAAAATATCTCTCCATCGAATCGGAAGAGCTCTGAGGGTGAGAAGCGGAAGTGTACGTGTTGATTCCACCCAAGCAATACCACAGCGGACCCCCTCTTAATAGTACGGTGCCCTCTATGCAACTAGACCACCGAAAGAGAAACGAAAGAGCTACACCGTCTTGAATGACACTCCGAGGGGACGAAATCGTCTCGTGCCAAGGATGAATCTCTGAAACGCTCAAAGCACACGATTAGTCCGCAAACACGTTATCATCAATCACCA